AAAAGCACCAAGGATTTAAAACACATTTAAGTTCATGCTGTCTACACAGGGCCTTTTAAAAAGTTGGAATATATGCTGCAATACTGATCATTATATCAAACATGCATACATATGATAAATTCCCATTCATTTGAAAGCTGGACCAATCCACTGGATTACAAGGCTGAGAGAAGTTGAGGATGTTATAACTAAATATCAGTAAAGAAACTTAGACAAAATCATTCACCCATGTTCACGTTTGTTTACCAACCAAAAAAATGATGCGCTGAGAATTAAAAATTAAAGAGCTTGTACAAATGCTTAGCACATCAATAATAAAATGTCAGAATACAAATACAGTGACTAAAGACCAAAACTCCTCACCTTGCTTGTTAGGCTGTCCTTCAAAATCTCTGACTGCCTCTGAACCTTTAACAAGTGTTCTTCCCTTTCCTTACAAGTCTCTACCTTTTGCTGTAGCTCATCTTTCTCCTTGTTAAGTAAAGTGATTCTCTCCAGGTGCTGACACACTTGCTCATTCATTGCCCTTTCAGTTTGCTCCTTTTCTGCCAGAAGGTTGCCATACTCAGCTGAGACACGAGTCAGGTTTTCAGTGACTTCAGTGAGCTGCCAAGAACAAACCCAAACCAATATTGGTACTTATAATCACCTCTTCAATGGGCAAAAATAATTGGATGCTTTGAAGATGGTTATTGGATCATCATTCATACTGTACATATGGGTTATTGTGAATGGATTGTTTTAAGGAGACATCCCCAATGGATTCCTGCTATACTAAGACAAAAAGATATAACAATTTTGTTTAAAAGCCAATCAGATGTCAGTGCTTCTGTCTTGGTGGCAGGCAAAAGTAAATGTGGAAAAACATGCAAGACGTTCCAAAGCCATAAAAATGCCTCAACTGCTGTATCCATAGTAGACAGGAGACATTACTAGATGCTAAAATAAAGCCTACAATCCACACTGGCTTCAGACATGAAAGCAAAACGTAGAGAAGGAATTTTTTACAGATTTTATGTAACAAATTTATAATAGTGAAATAAATTAAAGAATGAGCTAAGCTGTGCTAAAATTGCTCAAGGAGCTTCAGAATTACATAGCTGATTTCCATTATTGGACTGTAAAAAATGTTAGGAGTGGGCAAATGCACAGAGGTCAAAGTGCATTGTTGATTCCAAACAATAATTCAGTCATTCAACACCAAGACATTTTTAATTATAAAAAATGGGTCTGTTTATTACATCTACTGGAGCCCTACAGACTGAAGATTGCAGTCGACACGAGCTGCCAAACCCAACAGAACTTCTGTTTTTCCTGTCAAAACTGCTTCTGACCTTCTGCTGCAGTTCATCCGTTTTTTCTTTCAATGCCTCTTGCACCTTTGAGAGCTGATTTTCTTTCTCTGAAATACTTCCTTTCAGCTCCACAATCGTCTCCTTATGTTGTCCAAGAGATTCACGGGTACATCTCAACTCCTCCTGCAGCTCCGAGTTCTTTGGACACAATTAAAGTACATTTAACACCTGAACAACACTTCCAAATTCTAAGACAGAAATCTACTAAATCTCTTCTCCTACAGGAAGAGGACTACTTTTATTACCTTGCTAATTGTCTCCTGTAGAGTTTCTTTCAGCTGGTCTCTCTCATTCTGGAGATTTTCCAGTTGCATTTTAACATCATCAGCATCATCATAACTTCTTCTTGTCTGGGTACTGACTTCCTGGGAGTCATGTGGTTTTGGAATAACATCTGTTCTTTCCATTTTTTCAGATTCCCCTTGATATTCACTGGCCCTTGCTTCCTCCATTTCTTGCAATTTCCTTTGTGCCTGGCTCAGCTCTTCTCTCAGAAGGAATAACTCTTGCTCCATAGATTGCCCTTGAATCTGTGGTATCTGTTTTGTAAGAGATTCAAGTAAACACATTCAGGAAGTAGCTTTAGGAAAAACTCATCTGACACCTTTGACAGGTTGATTATGTACAACAATCAGAGGCACTGTTATAAAAACACACACAGAGAAGTGTAATCAGCCCCTCCAATTTCAGGAAGTGTTGGTTGCGATGTGCCTTTTTGTGCCATGAAAGAAGGTAGTTCTACCTATGTTTTAAAATAGCTGAACCACCCTTTTTAGGTGAGCAGTTTTTAGCTTTGTCTACTTAATTATAAAACATTCCTATATAGATCAGTACAGATCATTACTATGCTGTATCATGTTAATATTCTGTTTATAGTCATTCTCCTAATAGACTTCCATATATATATATATATATATATATATATATGCATATACACAATATGGGTGGCCTGTATCTCAAGTAAACCATAATAAACTTGGAATTTAATGAGGTGCAGTCAAGTACCCACGACCCTTTTCTGAAGCACGTTTTGAAATTATTTCACTCAAGTCCAAGTTTAAATAAGCAAGCTCCCCATATCAGTTTTAATTACATAATTACCAAAGTTCCTTCCCCAATCTCTTCTTTTTTCAAAAGTAGACTGTCCAGCTTCTCCTGCAATGAACGGTTCTCTTGTGTAAGGAAAAGGACTTGTTCCTTTTGCACCTGCAGCTGATCACTTTCCTTACAGCTATTAGTTTCTGATTTCTCCTCAGCAAGCTGATCTCTCTCTGATGTGATCATTTTAATTTCTTCGGTCATTTCTGAGATCTATTAAAAAATAAGCAGAGACAG